ACAATGTTTAAAATAAAAACGGGGCGTCTTTTTCAAACACGGATATCCACTAAAATAACGTTTGAAGTAATAAATACACACACACACACACATATATATATATATATATGTACATATATACAAAATTAACTTGTTCAAAAATTTACTTCATTTATCCTTGCATCATTGACGAAATCGCTAGAAATACCCGCCTAAATTACTACAGTAACTCCCACTGCTCTCTTCTCAGTCATGTTAGTGACTATTTTCCTGAAAGACCCAGCATGAAGCCAAATCATCAAGTTCATCCAATATAAATTTATAGTTCTCACTAAAAATAATTCCCAAGAAACGTTTCCACGTATTTCTTCGACCAATTTACGCGTTCCTATTCATTTGGTACGACGAAGTTCCTCATCTGTTTTTGCCTCGTATCAGACTTAGGACGACTGTCGTCGAACGGCTAGGGCAGGTAATCATGAGTCCATTTCTAATGGGATCTATCCAGATCCTGTAACCTTGTTCTCAGCAGGCCGATACTTTGATACAATTGACAATGCTAGTCTGTCAAGCTGGTAATTCTGGGTACACAATTCAGGCTTCATTGTGTCATGTAGGACAAAATATACTAACTTATTATTGCGACTACCGTGGAGAAAAGCTATTTATATTGATTTAAATTGTGATCCATTATTTTGGCTTTGTGTCAAAACGGATTAAAATAACTACACATACATACAAACACATAAATAGATATGAAAAGGAATAAAATGAGATCCAAATATATGTATTCAGGGAATGTTTTGTTTAAAAAGAGAGGGGGTTAATTAAAAAGGAAGAAGAGGAGAACAAAGAGTTGAAAAAACGCAACATATTGAGAGAGAGAGAGAGAGAGAGAGAGAGAGAGAGAGAGAGAGAGAGAGAGAGAGGAGAGAGAGAGAGAGAGAGAGAGAGGGGAGAGGAGAGGGAGAGAGAGAGAAAGGGAGAAATAAGAGAGAGAGAGGGAGAAAAGAGGAAGAGAGAGAGAAAAAAAGAAAGCAAAGAAATCGTAAAAAAGACAGAAAAAAGAAAGAAAGAATCAAAGACAAAACAGTAAAAAAGAAATAAAATGAAGCAAATTCTGAAGAAATTATTACGTGAACGCCGATCGAAAACTGTCGACAAACAAAATGTAAGACAGAAGTAGGAATAGACAGCGATATCAAACTGACCTGTGGTTCATGTTCGCCTCTGGTCAGTCGGTTCAGTGTCACGTGACTGGTCAGCAGGAATAAACTCGTTAGACAGCCATGTACACTTTTGTCCATTTAAGCAGGAACCTGATAAAATGGAAAACGTTGAACGGGACACTATCTTCTCGAATCGGCACTATGCCAAGAGACCATGATAACGCTTACACCCCATTGACCTGTTGGCGGGAAAATGATTGGGTGAGCAAGAGAAAAGACAAGGTGCTGGGTTGGGTAGAATGGCGGAAGATTTTACCGAATGCCATTCAGGGTAGGGAATCTTCTTTCAATATTCAGCCATCCTGGGAAGCTCGACGGACAATTCAACTCTCACGTCCGAAAATGGACTCATTTGCAGGTCATATAACCTGCCAATTGTCCATATTTTCGTGTAGACAACCTGTCCCAAGGGTATCGTAGATAAGAAAATATAAGAGAAGAAGAAGAAGAAGAAAAAGAAGAAGAGAGAGAGAGACAGAGAGAGACAGAGATAGAGAGAGACAGACAGACAGACAGACAGACGTGGGTGAGAGATGATGATGATGATGACGACGACGACGACGACGACGATGATGATGATGATGATGATGATGATGATGATGATGATGATGATGATGATGATGTTTTTAAAGCAAATTGAAGTATATAACGAAGAAGAAGAAGAAGAAGAAGAAGAAGTAATGGAGAAAGATAAAGGGTAGATTAGAAGAAAGAGAAAAACGTAAGAGAATTGAATGAAGAAGAAGATGAAAAGTTACAAAGAAACATAAAAGGAAAGAAGTTATAGCACCGACAGAAGAAGAGTAAAAAGAATGAATTTAGCAAAGAAGACAAAAATAAACATGAATAGAGAAAGTGAAGAAGAATCTTTTAAGGTGTAGACACAGCAGCAGCAGCAACAGAAGAAGAAGAAGAAGAAGAAGAAGAAGAAGAAGAAGAAGAAGAAGAAGAAGAAGAACAACAACAAAACAACAACAACAGCAGCAGCAGCAGCAGCAACAACCATCGGAAGGCTTTTAAGGATGTTGAGGATACCGTGGATCGAACATGTTTTTGAGAGAATGAAAACCAGAAGGAAACTAATCAGGAAGAGAGAGTTGGGTTTTCTGGGGCACATAATGAAGAGGGAGGGCTTGGTAAATTTGATCCTCACGGGGACAGATAGAATGCAAGAGGGACAGAAGGAAACAACGCATAATATACTCAGTATGCTTCACAGAATGGATGGCGGAACTGGACTTCGGAGAAATAACAGAAAGACAAAGTTTAAGAGATAAAAGCAACAGGACGTTGTGGAAAGCTATGAACGCCTACGTCCTGAGAGGATACAGCATATAAAAAAAAGATAAAAAAAACCATCGGCTCCTGCGAATAATGTTCTCTTTCTGTCTTAATCCTGTCGCAACTTCCCTACACTGATAATATCATTTACGACTATAAACAGGATGGTTAGATTCTGTTTTTATTCAATTATGCTGAGTTCTTTATGCAAATAAATGATAGATTTAAGCGATTTCTTGATGAGAAAGTAAATACACGAAGCATATTTCACTTCATCATAAAATATTTATTTTTATCTCTGTAGATCTGTTCGTGTCAACCCAGTCAAGACTTAACAAATTTCATTTGGTAAAATATATTTTTTTTTGCTTACATATTGAATACTTTTAAAAAGATTTCGTAGTTATTTATTTTTATTTTACCCTAAAATAAAGTGAGTGGGCACTCCCGGTGAGGAGCGGATTTTGTCCACTTGATAATTAGTCTGCAAGGCGAGTCTACTAATTGACCAGCTATTGGTAATTAACTAAATTAATCTTCAAAAATTAAAAGGTCACAGTACGCTTACGAAGAAATGTCTGCGAAGTCAAGCTTAACACAGAGGAGAATATGGAACTGATTGTATTCCATTCTTTACAATGGATCAAAGAATATAGGCATCAAACCAACTTACGAACATCGAAAAACCGTAATTAGTGGTGAATCGATGAAACAGGCATGGCTGATCATCGATGGGGAGAAAAGAGTAGCTATCAATCCCCTGTGGATTGAAGTAAAAATACAAAACAAAGCTCACCACTAGAGAATCAAACATCTAGAAGACTCACTGTATATGCTACGCTATGATGATTTCCTCAGTAGGTTTAACGTATACATAAATACCTTTAATGGGGCTGTTAATAAAAAAGAGAAATGGCGATGGATTGAATCAAGCTTGACAGCAAGGCTTTTGCAGTAACAGTAAGGAAGAGAAACGGCGGCGATGTCAAGTGTAATACTATGACAAGAACAGCAGCAGTTCGTATACAATAAGAATGAGATTCAAGACTCCAAGTTTTAGCTCCAGGATTTCAAATAGAGCATTAAATCATTGATTCGGTGGTCGTCTAGTAATAGCAAATTTAATTCTTGGGTCTCAGACTCGTTGGCAACAGGGATACCAATAACTGAACAGAATTAACAAATATCAGAACTTGAGATTCTTATACATCGACAGAGGAACTGGAACACTCTATTCCAGTAGATTAAATAAGTTGTGATAACAACAAAGACATTAGTAAATAAGGTGAACAATTATTTTAACTACTACAAGCTACGTAGTGGAAAGGCAGCAGAGAAAATATTTGGTAAAACACAACGCACAAGATATCAATTTGAATGCGATCTGGGGAGTTTGGCAGCAGAGCGACATACTGAATTCATTTTTATGTTCATGAAACCCTTCGCGTACAAATGGCTCACTGTCCTGCTGACAATTACCTTACTATCGAAGACTTTTGCCTTGAGACTGTGCTCTACCCGCTCTACAATAATACTATAGGAGGTGGAACGTGACAGAATTTCTTCAATGGTAATTATAGAGTTTCCCAACAGGACGTAACTTAACCACACTGACTGTTATAAGATTGTTATATTGTTCAATGCATCTTGTGGCCATTGCTTCTCTACGATAACGAGGTACACCTACTCTGACGTTTATCTTATAGACCCTGATTAAAGTTATCAGTATTGTTTGCTATAGTAGCATTTTCATTTGCTCCTACTTACCTATGATATGTCCATTGACTTTCAACATTGACAGATTTTGATCATCAAATACCCTGTCGACATTTTAGGATTTTACCTCACTCAGGTTACAGTTGATATGTAATCAGTACAAATAAATGTGAGCAGCACACAAACTGTGCTGTTTCGAAAATTCTTTCCCCCAGACTTCTTGCTATATTAATTACGACTTTATCAAACCTTTCTTCTTGCCCATAACCCTGGAATGTAATACACCAAAATATATTGCTCGATGTTTTAACTGCTTATCAACATCTGACCATGACATTAAGACCGGTTATGAGATAGTAGGTGTTATTCTTGTCACATGCCACTGGTTATAATATTTTCCTTAACATTGTAGAAAAAAAAAAAGCACAAATTGTGCGAGTGAGAGAAGGAGAAAGAGAATTGAAGAAATAGAAAAGCATAGTTCATAGAACAATATTAAGATATAAAGGATAAAGATAAGACTAGAAGAGTATATTATTAGATAATTCTTTCTTGAGTAACAAACAGTATCTTGTCATTTAAAAAAAAATATTTCAATGTTATTTTTCGTTTTGTCAACATATAAATTTTTGAGGAGGCTGCAAATAAAAATCATAATATTTAGCAAATCAAGAACACTGATAATATTTACAAAAAGTTTTCCGGGTCACTTCATATTTCCTTCATATTATATTTTCATATATTTTATTGTTATTCTCTAGTATTAATGTAATTTTTATACAAAGGAAACAGGATTACGCCCACATCACTTTGAAACACTGGTTCTCGTACGATCACTGAAGTTAAGCAACGTCAAGCCCGATCAGTACCTAGATGAGTGACTGCAGGAGAATATTAGATGCTGGACGCTTAGATGTGCTGGTTGCGTAGTGGATAATAGCTCAGAATTTTTAATCGGTGGGCAGAGTTTCAATTTCTTTTGGGTTCGTTATAGTCACTTACGCTCAAATACTACTGGGAAAGATATGAATCTATCTCTTCCCCCAACTATGGGTTAATTAGTAAGAATTGTTTCACTAAATCATTATTATCTCAAAGAAAAGTCTTACAATCTAAAAATATTTTCTGGCTTTAAATAACCTGAAAAGGTTAGATAACCTGTGGAAAGCGAATCAATCAATCGACCAAAGAAATTAGGCCAGTTAAGCAGTTGTCAGCGATAAATTATAACACACTCTTCTATGGACACTTTTTTTTTAAAAAAAAGCTGCAAAATACATTATAAACTGTACTATAAGTTAATTTAATTTGTAAGTTTATCAATGACAATGAATGTCCAAGAAAGGAAGCTATTGCTGTAAAAAAATGGGATAAGTGTTATTTTTAATTTATCATCATAATTAAAAATAAAGTTTTTTCCAAATATCCAGACTTCTCACTGTTGCAGAAAATCTTAATCAATAAAAGGATCTTCCAATTCCCAGATAATATAGGAGAAACATTTTCCACGAAAAATTTTGGATCAACGAAATTTATAAGGTGTGTATTAATAAATCAGTAGGTTAATTGTTGAATACAGTGTGGTCATAAGATTTGAAACTTCAAAGTGATTTTAGATTAGAAACTGACTGGTTGAAACTTGTTATAAAATCCTCCATACAATTAAGAAATTGCACTACAACTCCTTGATGTCTTCTATCATTGTCTACGATCATTGACTTTCTAAGCCGTTTATTTAACATATATTTTCTTGACATGTTATCAGACAGTATATAATAAGTAAATGTTGCAGAAAGGATACAACTAGGAAAGGACAATATTAATCAGAAATTCCAAAATTGAACGCTTTCAATTCGAATATGCAAGCTGACAAAAAATTATAAACTGTCGTAGTTTATAGTAAATTGCTTTGGGATTTTGAAATTCAAAAGAAACATTCTAACTTATCTAGGAGGGAAGATCACATCCTATTTAACAAAAACATGTGGACTGTCAAAGAGTTTATGTTGTTATTCCTGCCGACCACATATACCAGGAATTAGATAGAAAGATTAAAAGCAAGTGTAAAATGAATGCAATGATTGTAGTCATAATTATTCAGACTTCGGCCTTCCGATGATTCTTGAATATAGTGATTAATTGTGCTATATCATTTTGCTAAAAGGAATAAAGCTGAGAATAGCCGGGTGATATGGATACTTAATCCAAAGAAGACAAGAAAGAAAAAGGTTAGAGACTTGACAAAAGGAACACCTGCCAGGTATATCACTCAAACTTGCTATTTGTACTTTACTTTGATGGATTGACAGGGTTACGTAATCGTGGAGTTTTATTATTATAAACTGTCGTAGTTTATAGTAATATATATATATATATATATATATATATATATATATATATATATAAGTATACTTTTATTATATCTTTATCGCAGCTCTATCAAACGCTAATATTCAATTAATCTTACACATAACATTAACATGAAAGCATATGAATGCAGGTGGGAATAGAACATCCACTTACACAGTAGGATTACTGAATGATCAAGCACTTAGTGGATTTTACATTCATTAGCGATTTTCCCTTTTTTGACTCCGATTAACTCATGAAGCAAATAGATTTTCTTTGAAAATATTCAGCACACAGGCAATGTTTATTGTCTGATTTTTTTTAGAGAAAGTAGCTTAATTATTATTAATTACAATTGTTACTAACAACGTTTTATTTCAGCCTCTGATGTCGCAACGCTCAGATCGTTAATTCGAGCACATACTTAGTAAACAGTGGTGATTGGAAATAGCCTTCGACAAAATTTGAGCTTGAAGCTCCCGTATTTTAGTGACCACCTCTCATCTACGACGCCATTATCGACTTTTGCGACGTAAACTAACTGGTAAATGTATCGTCATCTAGCCATGTATTCTTCATCTGTTTATTCCTACCATATCAACTAGTAATAGTTGAGTAATAACCATAATTTGCTTGAATTTCGTACATTAAATATTTCCAGTTTTAATTTTGAACTGGTCTTTTTTTAAATTTTTATCATTTCGTTAAGGCTTTTAAATTCTAGCGTCGGTTTATTTTACTCAAGTTGAGAAAAAACTGAAATAAGAAAGAAAACAGTAAATCTCCATCCAAACAGAGCGGCTATATGTTTAGTTATCATCTACTTATCTAAAATAAAAATGATCATAGAAAAAAATCTGAACATTTTGACAATCTGATGAAAAATATCTTGACAGAAATGAATAATATTTTAATACTTTTAACATTTCCGGCTTTTAATATATGCTGAAATATTTCAGAAACAGGGTTTTATTATTATTATTATGATTATTATTGTGGTTGTTGTTTACATTTTCACAATATAAGGAATATATTTTAAATCTCCAGCACATTCACAGTATTATTACCAACATCCAAAACATTATAGTCCGTTAGATTTTAAATTATCTTTGAATCTATAATAATTCCAGTTTCTTCGTAAATATTTTATGAAGAGAAAACCAGTGTAACTGAATGTCTTTCACGCTTCTATATTTATATTTTTTAAAGAAGTAATTCATATTTTATTTGTTAATTCAATAGATTTTCTCGCTATAAAGTTATGGCTATCCACTTAAAATAACATTTAAAGTAATAACACACACACACACACACACACACACACACACACACACACACACACACACACACACACACATATATATATATATATATATATATATATATATATATACACCGGGTGTAACAGCGAAATTGTACAATTGTTAGATTAAGCTCTGAACCGTTGTATCTTAGAAATGATTAAAGATATCTTACTGGTATCCTCCGAGGATTTTATACACTATTTGACTCTGCTTTGAACAATAAGAATGTATAATTACTCTCTAAGCTTACCAGAAGAATCGTGATTAAATCGATCATTAAAAAAATAACATGTTAATCATAAATTAATCATTGCTAAGGTTCGAAAGCTCATGAAGGAGTGAAATAATTTTCAAATATAATAATAAATGGAATAATAATTCCAATATCATTTTCAAACTTATTCAAGATGATCTTCACCCTCTCTAAACTTCTAACTCTCTGTCCTGGAGTAAAAAGGTGCTTTGCAGGATTCACGTATGATTTCATTTTCAAGCCTGTTGTTCACTGTTCATTGGACTGTCATAGCTCAAAATCCTCTCGCACGTGCTAAACGTTTTATGAATTGAGTTGGATTTAATTGATCTCTTTAGCTCTAAGTTGAAATGATGATCCCTCTTCCTGTTGTGACTTACTGATCCAGTTTTCATCTGTACGTTCCCTCTTTTTTAAACTTATTCAGCGTCCTCTAGATGGTTCTTGAATGAACTTTGAAGATGGAAGCCAACGTATGAATGTTGCTACCATTACTGAAGACCTGGCTGATGGTTTTCCTCTCACCATTGCTCAGTTGGAAAAACAGTGGGTCTGACACAAAACAATTTAAGCTTATTCTCTTTTTAGCTGAATAAGTCGAAGGATTTTCAGTGTTTCTTACGACAATTAATGTCAAGATAACTAATGAGAAAAAGGTTTTATTTAAAAAAAATAAATTTTACCAGGTCAGAATTGAAATATACTTATGGGTATGTCTAGATTAACCAATGTACATCATGTCTTCGCTGAAATATAAAAATAAGTTCAGAGGAAGGGGGTGGATGGGTCATTTTTCATGTCAAGAAAACTGATGCTTAGACATGCCATTCAACGATACTAGGGAACAATTTCAACGACAAAAATATTATTGATATATGCAAGTATGATTTGCTGATTTGTTGAAGTAGACATAAGTTTATAAGAAACGAATTTAAAAAGAAAATTAAAAGAAAATCTTTTAATAGTACTCAGGAAGGTTCTTAAAATGGCCAATAGGTAAAATTATTAAAAATGTGGAAACAACTATATAGGTTGTTAATTATACTGAATTGACGGTAAAACATGGCAATATTATAGTTGAATAAATCAAATAAATGTTGGGTGGACCATTTTATACTAATAAAATAATGGTTATACAATTATAATACGTAATTATGAAAAAATTTTTTTTAAGTATATTTTAAAGTAAAAGGTACACAATGGCGGAATAGCACCGTTAATTCATTTATTTGGATTAAAAGGTTTTTATTGTGAGGAAACTTTATAATATGCAATTTTTCTTGTAAATATAACGGACATGAATCATGTAAGGAATTACAGGTTCTAGTTTTATTTTAATATTTTCCATTTTACTGTAGGAGTTTTGTTAGCTTCTTTTAAGTACCAATTTTTTTTTAGAAAGGAATGTTCTGTTACGATACGCATTGTTTTTTAAAGATATGTGTTGATACCACCGAGTTTTAAAGGGAATTTTGGTACTACCTATATAAAAAAAATTTATCTGTTGGATCTTCTCTAGATGAAATGGTACATAGGTAAACATCAGAATCTGTTAAACATCTATTTCGTAATGGACAGTCTTTAGGATTTCTACAATTACAGAAGTTGGTATCATTATTGTTTGTTGCTTTGGGATAGCTATTGGTTTAAGTGTTGATTTAAAATTTTATTATTGTGTTTTTTAATAATTTTTCAATATCTGTACAGCTATATCTTAATTTAAGTGCATTTTTATTAAAAATATTACTAAGATGATTATTACTAGGGATGTGTTTCTCAATTAAATTGAGAAACTTCCATCCTAACTTAGTACTAAACATTTGGTTAAATGGGGGGGGTGCACTAAATGATTTTTCTATTTCTATTTTTCACACTAACACTGTTATATTTCCTATATTTAATATGAGGGCACTTATAGCCACTATTTTTAAAGCAGTGTTGAAAAATTTGCTATGCTTATAAAATACATCTTCACTGGAAGAATTATTACTGATTTTATA